TTTATTTAAAGCTCTGGGTTGTCATAAACCTTTAGTGTCGTTATAGGTGAATACTGAATTGCATATCAGCTTTTTCTCTATATGTCTATCTGGTTTGGGTATTTTAGTCCTTAGGGTGTGTGTGCATGTATGTGTGTGTGATATGTTCTGTACTATTTAGCCTTTCAGGGAAAAGTCTGCGCTATCACTTGTGCAAAAGGGGAGGAGAAAGCAACAAAGACCACCGGCTCCAAAGGCTTGAAGAGTAAACCGGCGCCACTGCCCACACGAACGACTCGAAACAGCAGAACACGGGAGCTGTCCCCTGCCCAAGACCCGTGTTCCTTGCAGTCCGGGAACTCCGACTCAAACTCCTCCTTTTCAAACCCGTCTCCCAAGGCTGGCAGTGGTTCCCGAACAAACAGGAAACAAACTGGAAAGAGGAAACCAAAGCAGGGGCCTGAAGAGAAAGAGCGTTTCAAGGGTAATACAAGGCCAAGGAGAAAAAACATACAAGACTCCCAAAGCAGCCCGGAGGATGTCGGTGATGAAGTGCAGCAAGACTTGGAGGATGAAGATGGCAGAGAAGAGGACAGTGATGATGCAGAATTAAGTCCGCGGATTTCAGATGGTGAGCAGGTTTTGACCGCAGAGAGTGGTGGGTCTACACAGGCCTGTACCACATACGATGGCCCCGATACCTCGTATCGCTGCTCGGAGGATGAAGATGAGGTAGAAAATGCAGAAAACATCACCAGGGAAGACCACAGTCCTGATGGGGGGGAGACGGAGGATCAGGCACAGGAAAGCCAGGGAGAAAAGGATCTGGAGCGTCTGTCTGATGATGAGGCACAGAGCAAACCATTTAGGATGGATGACACATCTGATTTGGATGAAGATAGCAAGTGTCTTTCTAACCAGGATCTGGCAAATAGCAGTCCTTCCTCTTCTGACCAAGATGAGGTTATTCTGGAGAGCATCCCTACAAATTCCATGTCCTCAAATGCTGACCACGCTGGTGATACTGAGATGCACATTGCTGAGGATATAAATGAGGACATTGCAAGAGCAGAGTCTGTAGAGACTGGGGAGGAAAGCTGTGATGTACAGCCGGATGACCTCTCAGGAGACCAACCAAATGAAGACATTAACAAATGTACAGTTGTCGAAAAGGCTGATGGGGACTGCATAGCTATAAAAGGAAGCGATGATTGTTTAAGTCTTACACATAGAGTAGAAGATGAGGAAGGCAATGAGCGATCTGAGGACAACATGGAAATGGTTCCTATGGACTGTGACTCCCCAAGTAATGATCATGGCGAATTAGAAGCCGAATCGGAGGAGAGAAGCGACAGTGTTCCCATGCACACAGACTCCATGGCCAGTAGCCAAGCTTCTGAGGAAGACAAGAAACCTCATGTTGAAGAGGACCCCGAGCAGAATGAGCAGCCTGTGAGCCGGCAGCGCAAGTCGCGTTTCCATTCCCCATCTACTACCTGGTCTCCAAAGAAGGAGTCAAAAAGGGAGCCCGAGCATTCAGAGGCAAAGTCAAGGGTCAGCGGTAGCAGCCTGAGGGATTCCAAAGGGGAGCAGAGAAGATCGCGATCCAGGGATCGCGATCGTGATTGGGATCGCAATGGCAGCTGGTCCTCCAGGTACAGGTCTGGGGATAGCAGCAGAGAGCCAGAGAATGGCAGAGAGAGCCAGAAAAGTGATGATTACAGAAGAAACCGCAATCGAGAGAGGACAAGTAGAAGGCGCTCAAGAACACGATCTCGTTCCAGGTCTCGATCCAGGTCTCGTTCCAGGTCTCGGTCCAGGAACAGGGGGTATGGCCGAGGTTCGTCATCAGAACGTGTGGAGCCAGGTGGTCGTTCCCCAAGGAGGAGGGACCGGTGGGCTGGTGATGACAGGAGGAATGCTCGGGAGAGCTACAACTCAAGGAGACATGACCAAGAGAGGCCAGGCAACTCCTCAGGTACAGGCTCTGAACTTCATGATAATGGGGCCCTTGCAGAAACATCATTTGACCAGGCCAGAGGAGAAAACCCGGAATGGGTGAAAGAAAAAATGGCAAACAGCTCAGAGGATTGCAGTAGAAGCAGAGGCTTGAACTCTTCTCAGTGGGAGGACAGTTGCAGTAATGGTGCGGGAGACAACTGGTCCCGCAACGCTCATCAAGGAGGCATTGCTCCGGAGTGGAGACGTGGTGCCGGGTGGAGCCAAAGAGGGTCTCTGCAAAAAGGCGACGTAGCACAGAACCGGTGGCAGCCAAGAAACTCTTCTTTCTCAGGAACCTCAAACAATTCAGGGAATGACTCTTACTCACGATTCAACGAGAATCGCCTTAACAGGAGGACTGTGGAACAGGAGCATCCAGAGCCCCCTGTTGACCGTTCTGGCTGGTCCTCTGCCTCAAACTGGGCCGTGTGCCGGACTCTGCCTGCAGACGTGCAGAATTATTACTCCAGGCGGGGGCGAGGCTCGGGTGGCTGGAGCAGACAGGATGAAGAGAAGCCAGCGCAAGGTAAACCCATACGCTCTTTTCCTGTGCATGTCTTATCTAACGGGCTCAGCAGTTGCATGCAACTGAATTTCCTGAAGTGGTTTTCAGTTTGGCACTTCATCCTCCTCAGCTGAGTATTTCTAAGTGAAGTGCTTAAGATCGTGAGGCTTGCATAAAGGTTTTTAATTCTCTAATCTCTGTTGCATTAATAATACAATAGATTGTTTTGTTTTTTTTCCTGCGTCGATTGACATAAACAAGATTGTGCATACTCTTCCATTTTAAAATCAAGTGATATTTATCCATGTATTTTCTTAAATTTAAGATTACCTTAACCAATCTGGGGGTCCCTGAGGAATGGGTTGGAAAACACTGGCCTGAACCTTTTATTAAAGTTACTCTAAAATGTAAATATCAAGTTGCCTGTGCCTCTTAGATTTTGCTCCGTGTCATTTTTGTGCCCAGAAGCCACTCAAGGTGACCCGAACACTCAGGGAGGGGGAGGCCCCCAGGTGCCCCTGAGTGTGGTGCACCACCTCCCGATGACCGTGCCGGCCCAGACCCCAGCCCCAGCCCCCCCCCCGACCGCGGCTCCCCTGCTGCCCTTTCCTGTGGGCACACACCCCCAGCCCCTCAAGCTCCCCCCAGCCCCATTTACTGTGCCCCACCAGGTCCCCATGTTCCTCCACCAGAGCGTCCCTCTGCTGCAGGTGCCGGTGGGGGTCTCACAGGGTGTCCCCCCGCCCCCTCCACCACCCCCTCCCATACAGCAAGCAGACAGCCAGACAGTACAGGTATGAGACTTGCAAATAGGATGTACGAGTGCTCATTTGTCCGTCACTTTGGTCTACGTTTCATATGAATGGACAGAAAACATCAGTATCTCAGTGCTGTATTGGGGGGGGCATGTTTAGCTGTTTTCATGGTGAGATTTGCTTGGTTGAAATTTGTTGTCAATGTTCTGAATCAGAGTTATCTGTAATGCAGTGTGATATTGTAAATTAGCCCCTATTTCGAGCTCAGTCTAGGACGGGTGTGTCAGGGCAACCTGGGTATTTTAGCCCCCCCAGTGCTGAAACCAGCTGGCGATGGGCTTACTGACGTCCTCTGTCTTTACTCTCCCAGAAAGCGGCAGGCAGCAGCAGGTCTGGGGCTTCTCTGCTCCCCCACAGCACCCTGAAAGCTGTGGGTGGCATGGCCCAGGGGGCACCGGGCGCCGCCCTGCCATCCTCCACCACACAGCCACGCTCTGGTGACAGGCATCGTGCTGAGATGCATGCAGACAGCTCCAAAAAGGAAAAGGCAGGGCCGACGCCTGCGATTTGCATGCACGTGTGATCTGCCATATTGCACACCTGGTATGAATGTCGTCTCTTGGGTTCCCCCCCCCCTCCTCCCCTCCCCCCCTCAGAAGCTGCAGATTCAGGAAAAGGCCGTCCATGAGGTGAAAATGGCCATCAAACCCTACTACCAAAACAAGGATATTACCAAGGAGGAGTATAAGGAAATAGTGCGAAAAGCAGTGGAGAAGGTGAGTGTGATAGTAGGTGAAATATTGCTTTTGTGTTTTGCAGCGCATTCTAGAATCTTTGAGTAAGACAAACGGGTCAAAAATGATATTTGGCGGTTTTGCTTTCATCTCAGGTTTGCCATAGCAAAAGTGGAGAGGTGAATTCCGCTAAGGTGGCAAACCTAGTGAAGGCTTACGTCGACAAATACAAGCATGGACGCAAGAAGTCTGACGAACTTAGCAAGTTCTGAACGAGTCCCCTCTGACCGTTCTGAGAAGTGCAATTCCCACCAGCTGTATCTTGATATCCATGTCTTTTGATATCTCCTACCTTAATGAATAAAGATTTTCTATAGAGTTCATATTTTGTTTAAAAATTATCAAATTGTAAATTATAGTATTAAACACTTTATTTTAAATAGATATGGTGAATTGGGAACTGCTGTATTTCCCTGCCCCCCCACCCCCATAGTAGCTTGATTATTGATTAGTGAGTCATGCCTGTGTGTCTTGGTTTATTAGGATTTGTACAAAATAGCAATGATTGCGCTGGTAGCTGATTCATACAGGAGCTGTTTAATCCTCCATTAACTTTAGACTTAAGTTACTGGCTTTTTTTATGAACTGTAATCCTCAAAAGCTCACTCAATGTTATACCCTTACGATGTCTCCCAGATGTGCTGTGTGAATGCTTGTGATCCATAGAGCAATTAAATAATTCATCTGCCGTCTTATGTACATTTGTCACTAACTCACCTTTACATTGCTTAGCTGATCCTTTTAATTGAAGCAACATGTCTACGCAGCTGGATAGTTTTACTACTATTACTAGAATTTCCAGGGACTTTCAGGGCGCAAGCCCATGTCCTTATGGATACATTATCTCCTATCTACCCTGGCAGCTTGCTGTTGGAGAAACCACTTACATGATGAATAGGGTCACCCAGGCCTCGTGTGATCGTCAAAGGGACCGGTTCCTTCATTTACAAAGATTTTAAGAACCTCTGTTTTAAAGATGGGCTTTATTGGTGTTACTCAAAATGTACAAACTTTGTGGAAAAAGTAAAATTTTCAATACAAAAAATATCTTCACAACAGCCTGACCAAGTCTGGGCTGTTGTGCTAACCTATAGCGAATAAATGTAGACACTTCCAACTGTTGATAGAGAAAAGACCTCAATCTCACACATCCAGTTAACTGTTAAGAGTTCAACATAAAAAAAGGACAAAAAAGGTTCAGTCTTTTATTTAAAAACTATAAACAGTCACCAAAGTAAATAAAGGCAATCTAACAGACTGTTAGGTCTATTCATATCGCACACCCTACTGACACAGCAGAAATGGTGGAGGGTCAAAGATCCCCATTCATATGCTAATAGAACAGGCAGTTATGTCACACACAACACACTGTAAAGGAGACAGTCTGGGGACACAGGCCGGAATGTGGCATGGTAGTAAGAATGAAAAAACAAACAAAAAAAATAGTATACTAAAACTCCACACTATATTAAGATAGAAAAGGTCGTGAAGAAAATATCATACCTGCACAAAAAAGCAAATATAACACAGGAGTAAACCTGTATAAAACTCCATGTATTTAAACCAATTTACAAATACAAAAAGAATTTTGTTCAAGCATTGCGCTTGTACAATGACAAACTTTTACAATGGATACATGTTAGGGGGGAAAAATATCTTGAATAGTTTTTCTTCTACAAAAATGACAAGATATATTATTCCATACTCTTTCAGCCAGCAAAATGAGTCCTACAAGGTATATTATACAAAAAAAAAGAAGTTCCACAAAAACCATATCCCCCCCCCACCCCCCCCAAAAAAAACTTTACAGCATCAGTACCTTTGCAGAAATATGTACAGTTTTTCTAAGAACATTCATCCACTGCTGAGTGTACATCACATCTGATACAAGTGACAGGGAGCATTATAAAATCTACCAAAGTAATGCTTCTTATGACACCACAGAGCACCTAACCCGTGGCTGCAGAGGCGTGGAAATGAACTCATTTCTCATTTATATATCTATATATATATTTATATATATAAATATTCACAGACATTTACAGGATTTTCATTTAACCATATTGGTATTCATTTCAATAATAAATAAGTGAAAATATATCAGCTCAAGTAAGAAAACCAAGCTACCGAGTTATGAAGAACAGCCACCTGTCCAGTTGTTTGCTGCAGCACCGACTTCGCTGAACTCTCCCCCAGCCCCCCCTCAGGAACTCGTATGCAAACCGGTTCAGCCAAACTGTCCCAGGGTTACAAAAAATGTGCTCATATTGGTCTGGGAATAAAAATCTTGTCTGATTGTAAAGTATGGAGCAATGTGGCTGGTAAGGAAACTCTTCCCTTCAGGGCTGCGTCCGAATGCCCCCCCCCCCCCCCCCCCGAACAGCTGGTGGAAGATCCTGTGGCAGTGTGTGGAGAGGACGCCTGTGTTGGCTGATCGAACCTCAGACGGTAGGAGCTGTGGAGTTTCCCGGCCCGTGGCATCCTCTCCCCACCCTCCTTCAAAGGCCGTCTTCAGTAACGAGGCCTCGAGCCTCCTTTTCCTTTTATTTATTTATATTTATTTAGGTTTTTTTTTTTTTTTTTTGGATCCAGCTTCTCTCCCCTGGTCAGCGGGAGAGAAGCAGAACTGACTCACTTGACGAGTCCCAGTCCTGGCACCTGCTCACGCCTGGAGGGAGCGCGTAAGTTCATAAAGGCATTTGGCAAGTGTGGTGGACACCTCCATGTTACTGAGCGCCAACACGGACAGCTGGCTCTCATGCCGCTTCACCAACCTGCCAAGAGACGGGAGTCCGTTAAACAAAACAACGAAAAAAAAACAAAACAAACGAAAACAAACACCATGATGCTCAGCTACATGTAGAAGATTAATGTGAATAAAGAAACCAACACATCAGCCACGCGTTTTCCTACTGATGCACGTGTGGCAGCGTTATGCTACACACACAGCATTGAAGAGCCCCTGTTACCTTCCCACACACAAGACTAAACTCCACCGAAATTTATGGAATTACTGCATGCATTTTTAAACCACAAGAATTAGATCAACCAAAACAACTAGTTACGTGTATTCACATTTTTCAGTCTCTACTTGTAATTACTGGCCACTAATTTTTCTCCACAAATACAGAGAATTTAACATTTAGAATTTCAAATTCTTCCTGTAAAATATATTTTTATTTATTTATTTAGAGGGGTACATGTATCCGCATGAAGACCAAAAGGGTAAAGTGTTTAAATCACAGTTCTGTTGAAGTACCGTAGTCATCATAAATATACTAAAGTTGTTAAAATTGGACTCAAATGACGAAATTTTAAAGCCAAAAAACACCATTCAAGGTTTAATGAACACAAATGAACCTATAAATCACTTGGTCTGTTACAAAGACTTCATGTTAAATCCATTACAAGTATCCAGTAAAATCTAAGCGGGGCTTTAGATAAGACGTAGCTCTCCATCCGTGCACTGGCTTTTCAGTACAATACAATTTACGAATGCTCACAATGTGGCAGCAGAATAGTAGCATGCCTAATATATAAACAAGAGGCGTATTGTAACACCCCGACGTTTGTAGTCGAAATTTGCCGTATCCTTATGTTTAATACACGTGTCGAACCTTTCACCTGTAATAAGTACCACCACAGTATTTTTACCTAGTTTATCCACAATATCTCTTCCTTTAAAAGATGTTGCGGCTGACTTGTCCCTTTCTTCACTGCCACTTCAGTGCTTATCGCTTTATGACATACCAAAACGATAGCACGTGTTGCTCCCCTAACTAAGTTTTACAAACAAAAGGATACACTGCTAGTAATACCTACTAATCTGCATATTAAATTGTGGGCTTAAGTAAACGTCATGAAAGCTGCGAAATGGACTTACCTCTGCCCACGGCCTGAATGCTTAGCGATGTTCTTTAATATTAAGGCAGCAGTCAGTCTGATGTGTTTGGTTATTGGTCCCTCCTTCTCGTCCTACATGGACAGAAACAAGTAGTTAAGCAGCTGCCTAAAAATGACAGCACCATTAATCAATATGTGACGTTAATTAAAAACACGGAGCCATGTGACGGGAATCAGGGCAGCGCGCAGAAGCAGAGCGGGGATCCCACGCAAGGGCACAGAGCTGCTCGCACTAGCCATGGCCCTGAGCGCCAGCGCCTCCTTCAGGCCATACTTACAGTGAAGTCCCTGAAGGCCAGGTTGCGAGAGCCACGCCTGAGGGCCATGAGGGCAGCACTGGGATGACTGGACACAGGCTTCTGCCGGGGGGTGGGGGCATTGTCAGCCAGCGGCCTGTAGGGGGAGCATGACAGACTGACCTAGATGCCCCCAAGCAACACAAGGGACCAGATGGTCTCCTTCTAGATTAGAACGCCTTTACAAACAGCATGAATACTGGACAGTGTACTGTGGCAACTTAATAATAATAATAATAATAATAATAAAGATCTACCTCAATCTATGGGGGTGGGGCTACGTCGCATGAAAATCTTTGCACCTATTAAAAGATGGCATCCTGCGGCTATTCACCCAAACAGACAGCAGGGGTCACTAACAAGCAAGCAGAGTGACAAAGCCCACCAATGTGTATAGAGGGAGCTCTTGTTCACCTGACATGGCTCACTACAGCCCACCTCTCACTTTGCGAAGGGAAGTGGGCGACACGTCTGTCCACTCGCTCCGGCGCTGTTTGTAAACAGACTACGCTACGCGAGTAAAACCATGGGAGGGTGTGATGTCACCGTCACGGCTGCGCTTCCCACAGCCTATCTGACACTTTCATTCTGAGCGAGTCGGCTCAAGGCAATATACACACACACATTCTCCACTGTCCGCATCACTTCAGCCTCTTCCCTGGGATTTTGCCCCCTCGTTCAAACCCCAAGCATCTTCCCATTCTTCCTACATAATTATCCAGCACTTATTAATTACTTTAAATAACCTTCGTCATTACAGGTAAAGTTCAGCCATGTTAAAATATGTAGTTGGATCCCAATGACCTCGAAAAACAGGACCATTGTCATTCATAATCAAATGACTCATTACACTGCAATGCTGAGCGGCACATTGTGTTTCTCGTTCTGTACCGTCACACTTTTCCAATATTGCTTTTGGATGCATCTACACTCATGCATATTCATTTCAAGTAAACAGTTATGTTATGCCAGCAACTAAGGCTGTATGAAACAGTTCATTGTAAACTGTATACATTTATGTTACCTCAGACACAGCGACCTAAACTTTGCCAATTCAAGCAATAAGAAGGGTGACTCCATAACGATAGAAGATGTGGTTAAAACAGCCTCGCTGTGAACCTGAGATGAGCAGGAACATCGCTGCAGATCGCTGCCATGGGGGCATTTTTTCTGCCCTTATTGTCCTCCAAACTTCCCTAAAATATGCCACTGCAGTGACAAGCTGCATTTTTTGTATACAAAAGGTACCCATTACCAAGTTTTCATATTAACCATATTCTGAACCGTCTGAAACGTCACACACTCAAGCTACACACACGAGGGCGCAGCCGGGCGAGCTAAAAATCGAGCCGCGCTGTCTCAGCTGACGTGACCCGCGCGTGAATCTCTGACGCCGGGCCGGACGGCCGCACATACTTGGAAGCGTTCGGACCGCCGCTGAGCATCTGCTCCTCCAGCTTCAGTCCGGCCAGCAGGGCATCCCGTGAGCAGTGCTTGTCCTGGTGGACGAGGGAGGGGCAGAGAAAGAGGTGAGGGGAGGTCACACCTGCAAACCGGGCTGGGCTACGGCCCGGCAGAAAGGCATTGTGGAAAGGAGGCGGCACTTGCCTGCAGGTGGGTGATGAAAGACAGCCTCTGGCGGGGAAAGGGTTCACAGCCTTCCCAGAGACACTGGCCAGGGTAGAGCTCCTTGGCGCCGTGCAGTGTGGCAGCGTGGTAGAACACCTGGGACGGCGTCTCGAACCACCTAAAACGGATCGGAACCCCGAGTCAGGAAGCCCAGATGTACGCAGCACACGGGAGAGCAGCCCTGCCGCAGTCCGAAGCTACGACTCCCGGCGGCGGAAGCCAGGCTTACCGTTTACAGGACTGCCACAAGCACTTGAAGTTCTGGCCCGGTTTCCGGGCCTGTTCAGCTGGTTCTGCTGGGGCCTGTGGTCCAGCCAGAGGTGGACTGGAGATCCCTGTGCTGGTCTGGGTGGGATGGGGATGCGGAGGCGTTGGAGCCATTGGTGACGGCTACCCAGGGAAACCACACACACATTATTACATCACCGCTATTGGGGAGGGCACCCCACCCGCATCACTGCCATTTTATGGTGGTTAAGGAACTGACCACATAACCAGAAGGTTAAATGTAAGAATCACAGAAGGCCAGAGAATGCAGGTTACTGGTTTCACCAGGAATTCAGGCTAAGTAACTATGACCACAAACCCCTGAAGAGCCATCGGAGAGCCAACTCAGACAGACCCCATTTCAAAGAGGAGCTTTATAAAAGGCATGTCATGAATATCACCTTTACAAACCTCTGTAATTTAATACATCTCATGTATGAAAAGTCAATGACTTAATACGCTGGACGTGGAGCGAACAAACCGCCGCCAAATTCACCAGCCAAGCCAAATGAGGCTTTCGTGTGAATCGTCTGGATTGGGAATTCATTTGGTATTCAAATCGGCCCCAACCAGGCGGAGCCCGGCCAGAGAGTTCCGCCTGCACACCTGTCCGTCTGGGTCGAAAACCTGACCCCCTGGGGCCCCAACGAGACTCCCCCTGACCAATTACATTTGATGTTAAAAGTACTTCACAACAACCAGGTTGTTAAAAAAATAATAATAATAATAAGTTAAAAAAGTGGTAAGTAGCAACAGGCATGTTAGATAGCAGGAGATTCATGGATTGTGTGACACTGCGGGGTAAGCCTCTGCGCCAGTCAGTCTACAGTAGGTTGCTGGTTCAAGCCCCGGCAGCAAAGGAACATATCCTTTGGGCCCTTAAGTAAGACTTTAGCCTCCTGAAATGCTCTACGGAGCTCTGGATAAATGCCTGAGCCTGGACTCGGACTCCAGGCTTTACCAAACATCCCTCACGATGTGATAAAAACCTGTTATGTGTGTCTCAAAGGAGAGCATGATGGGATATGTGAAAATAAGCATTACTATGTACCTGTACTGGGGCAGGCCGCAAATGAATCATCATGAACACCATGAACAGAAAAGGTTCTGGAAGTTTCTCCCGGGGAGTCTCACCTGTGGCAGGCTGCTCTGCACCGCCGAGGACGCGCTCTGCTTCTGCTGCGCCGCGTTCTCTATTGCTACTTTTGCCACTGCACTGGGGTCTGCCCCCGCCGGCACGGCCACCATGGTGGCGCTGCAGCCAGCGTTGTTGGGGTCGCTAATAGTCACTATGCGCACGCCCACTTTATTAGGGATGCCCGAAAGGGTCCCCCGGTCCATGTCATCCGCCGGCCGTTTGGCGCCCCGGCTGTCGCTGGAGCCGTTGGTGGGCAGGGCCGGGGCTGTTAGGGAGTTTACAGTGGTCACCGGGGCAGAAACCTGCTGCTGCTGCTTCACTGGGGGTGAGTCCGAGCTGGGGCTCAGTACTACGGGTCCATTAGCAAGCTCGGTGCTATTGCTGGTGCCCTCCAAGCAGACAGGGGGCGCCATCCCCGCCAGCGTGTTGGCACCAGGCAGGGAGCTGTTGACCGGCAGAGGGCCGTTTGGCGTCCGCTCCGACGGATCCACTTTGGCAGTGTCGTGCTGGGGGGGGTCCGGGTTCTTCTGCGGCTTCTGTCGGGCGATTTCTCCGTTTCCCAAGCGCTTGGAAGCTTTGTGATTTGGAATGTTTTTGCTGAAGTGAGAACTGTCTCCTCGGTCGGGGTCGCAGACACCATTGACGAGGCCTCTCGTCTCCGGAGCGTCTGCCGGCCCCTTCGCCTGCACGCCGTTGGCGGGGCCCTCAGCGGCCTCGGCCTGAGGTCCATTGACTACCTGTGTGCCCTCGCCAGCCTCCGACGGGCTTTTCCCTGAGTTGAAAGGAGGTAGACTCAAGTCGACGCACCTTCTCCCGTTGACCAGCTTGGTGGCAGCGGCACCGTCATTAGCTGCCGGCCCCTCGGCCTCCGCGGCATTACCGTTGCTCGCCTTGGGAGAGCCCTCCATGAGCGAGGAGTTCTCCATCACCTCGATCTTCCGCTCATGCACGTGGAGCCCCGTGGCGTCCTTGGCCTCCTCCTCCTTTTGGCAGATGATCTTGTCGCCTCGGAAGGGCGGCGCCGGGACCGCGTTCATCGATCCCGCCGGTGACTGGTTGAGGGCCTGGACGTGCAGGCCCAGCGCAGGCTGCGAGCCACCGAGGGAGATGGTGGCTGGGGCCATGACCTGCGAGCCGCCGCTGCTGCCGACTGCGCCCGTCGAGAACCCCGTGTTTGGCACCACCGTAAAAGTCACCTGGTTACCAGGAGTACCTTGGATTATGGTTGTGGAGCTACTTGTGGAAATAAGCTGTCCGGGGAGCAGTTGCAGGTTGGAAATGGGCACAGTCTGCACAGGGCCCTGGGGCTGCAGGGGGCCTGGAACCAGCTGCACATTCTGCTGGCCGACCAGCAGGTGCTGTTGCTGCGCCGGGCCCTGTACGCCGAAACCGGGGTTTTGGCTGTTCGTGACCTGGTACACCACCTGCGGACTGGACGCCCTCGTGTTGTTGGGAGGGGGGATCTGGGGTGCGGGGAGGATGAGTTTGCCCCCCGGGGTAGAGGGGCCACGCTTTGGGAGGAGTAACTGTTTGATGAGGCTGGATTCGGCAGGGGCCGCCTGGGGGGGAGGCGGCGGAGGAGGCGGCGGGTGGGGGTTGTGGTGGAGCTGGAGCTGCTGCTGCCGTTTCACAGAGAGCATCTGGCTGACCGTGGGTAGGGGGCCCTGGGAAGCACCTTGGGGGACTTGACCAGGTGCCGAGGTGCAGGGGGACACGGGGGCGGCAGGGGGGACACCCGGTTGCCCGGTTATCTGTACAGTTTGGGTCCCTGGGACAGAGGAAGGGTTGGCCAGCACTATCTGGTGGATGGCTGGCGCGAAAGCTTGGCCCTGCGGGGGCCCCGCCCCCATGATGACCACGCCCTGCTGCTGCGGCTGCGGGATGGGCTGCGGGGGCGGGGCTGCGGGTAGGGACGGCACCTGCGGTGGCACGGGCTTGGGGGCGATGTTCTGGAAGGTGACACGTGACCCCTGAGGGTTGGAGACACCCGCGATGGTGAAGACCTGGCCGCCAGCCACCTGGAAGCTCGGAAGGGAGGAGCAGGGCGCAGAGGCAGCCAGTACCAGGGCCTCCTGGGGCGGGCCGGGCTGTGTGGAGCCTCCGGGGGGGCAGACGCCCTGTACCCGGCCCGCCAAGATGTGTGCCTGGGAGATGCCCGGCTGGAACACAGCGACGGGTGTCCCCGACGGGAGGACAGGTGGCAGGGCCGCGGAGCTGTGGTTGGGGACAACCGGCACGACAGAAGCAGGAACCGGGCTCTGAATGGCCGCCGCCTTCACAGTGTCTCCAGGTTTGCCGGGCACGCCGGTCACCGTGGGGTTCTGGTGCAGCAGGGGCTGGGCAGGCGGGTTTTGAGGCAGCCTGTGGGCGATTGCCGCCCCCTGTACCGCGAAGCTGGGGTTCCCGACGGGCGCCTGATGGAACTGCGTCCCAGGGGGCACACCTGAGTGGGAAGACAGGAAGTTGGCATGCTCAGAAACGCACGTCACACACGTATAATATGCAGCAGCTCTCCACAATGCATGGGGAAGCTAATCGCCAACTCATGAATAAGATAAAATTTAAATTAGCTGTGCATAAGCACCGATCAAAGCACCCGGCTGGCCTGGCGTACCTGGCAAGGGCACGGGCGGGGGCTCTGCCGCCAGGCTGGGGCCGGGTACTGCGCCGGCCACAGCCTGCTGTTGGTAGTAGAGCTGGACAGGCAGGGGGATGGCCCTCCGCCGGACCCCCACCACGTGGATGTGGGCCTGGCCCACCGCCTTGGGCTCCTCCACCCTCCGCACCGTGTGGTTTGGGAAGATGTTCCTACCGCACGGAGAGAGCAAAAACCGCAGGACGTCAACAGGCTGTAAGACGAGCTTACGGGGCATTTCTCTGCGTTACCATCACTGTTACACAGAAAATACTCGCCTAGATCAGCTTACTGCTTAACCATTATTTTTTAACCATTTATACTGCTTAACAAATCACTGGCAGCGTGCCCTAACTTGGGGGGGATCATCAGGGGCCCCCAGACTGTGGGAAATCCAGTGAGTAATTTAGAACTGCGGCTCTAATCCATTCATTCATCCATCCATCCTCCAACCGCTTATCCTGGTTGGGGGGGGGGAGGGGGCGGCCTGGAGCCTGTCCCAGGCAACACAGGACACAAGGCTGGGGTAGAACCTGGACAGAGCGCGGGAGTGCGCCACACACACACACAATCATACACTATGGGCAGATTAGACACCAATTAGCCTAACAGCATGTCTTTGTACTGTGGGAGGAAACTGAAGTACTGAGAGGAAACACGAATAACGCTGGAAATACATGCAAACACCCCCCCAGCCCCCCACATAGACACACACACAAACACGCAGAGCGGAGCCAGGATTCCAGCTCCCAAACCTGGCCACCGTGTAGCCCCTGCTTCCTGCTTCCTATCCAGAGCTGGCGGGGATGCTGACACGACACGGGCTGATCCCTAATTTAAGTTTCAGGAGACATCCCCCCCCCCCCCCCCCCCCCCCCCCCCCCCCCACCCCCCCCCTCCCCCCCGCCCCCCCCCAACACCATCGTTCTCAGAGACCGCGGCGCCCGGAAAGCCCTGCGCTCCCAGCGGCCCACCTCAAGCATTTGTAGAAGCCAGTGGAAGTCAGGATGCCAGCCCGTGCCAACTTGCTGCACGTGGAGAGGTACTCCGAGTACATCTCAGAGCGCGAGACGGAGCCATCGGCGTGCGTCTCGAAGTGTGCGTGTAACCTGCAGGGAGCAGGGCCAGTCAGGCGACAGAGGCAAGCCGTCTGACTCTAACCTGACGCTGGCAAAGCCAACATCGAATGAGCCGCACCAACCTTAATGCATCTAATAATATCTATCAGGGCCGAAAACGAAAAAGCAATGAAAGGGCTTCTCTTTAATCTCACAGAGGGCGACTTCTTACCACTGAGTTGCGAACTTCTCGCCGTCGATCTCCACAATGCCGGGCACCGCAGGAGCCGACTGTGCCGGGACCCGCGACACTGCTGGCAAAAAGCGACCGGGGAGATCAGCCGCAGCCGCGCTTGACATGCACAGCTGCTGCTGCGACGATGAAATGCACCTCACGCCTCAGACTATTTTTCTGCCTTACATGCGTTGTCAGGAAACCGGTTTAAAATAACCACTGTGCTCCACTAAGAAAATGTATACTCCCGGGTTTTAGTGATGCGTTGACAATTTTATTTTTCATAGGAACATCATATATAATTTCTTTTCATAACAAGATGGCCAAATGTAAACAGTGGAATTTTTTTTTTAATCAGGCACCTCTTTTGGGCGCCTGCAGCTAGCGGACGAGGCAGGACCCACCTGGCACGGGTGTGCTCTGCATTTGTGGGGGCAGGTGCTCCAGCAGCTGGGGTCGCACCTCGGACACTGATTGTCCGCTGGAGCTCTGGTGCTCCACGAGTTTAACGGCTGTCACAGCATCTGGCCCAAAGGTGTGGATATCTACGGATACGAGACGCACTAGGAGATCTGCCAAGAGGGAGAGAGAAAGACGCTCAGGTTCACAGGTTTCCCAGCACAGTGAGGTCAGGCAAGCAACATGGAAGAGAGTAACTGTGCAGGGATCACATTCGGACAAGATGAGGAGGCCCCATTGGCTACTGCCCAATTACCACGGCCTATAAATTTGACTTTTCAGGCAGATCTGCGAGAGCCTTAATGCCAGCAGCATTCAGGTCACAGTCCATTTCCTAGTGCCCTAGTCCACCAACTGATAGCTTTGGAACAGCATTCTGGGACATGGAGTTTTAAAGGCCTCTGCCAAGACCGCGCGCGAATGTACCTATGCTCCGGTCCACCGAGGCGATCTTTGTGCAGGTGAGCTCGCCCAGCTCCGCCAGCTGGTACAGCACCTCCAGTGAGGAGATGACCAGCATCACGTCTGGGAGAGTGAGGTGGAGGATGACCTCTCGGTAGGACTCCTGGTCCACATACTCACAAATGAGGACGGCGTTATCCTCCCCTTTACTGAGGTTTGCCAAAATCTCCATGGCTGGGGGAGAAAATAGCATAAGGGATGGGTTCCGGACATTCAGATCTTTGCATCACAAAAAATCCAGGCAGGGGAAACACTCACCTCTCATTTTCAAAAACCTGTCCCTCGACATTAAGCATTTGGTGATGGTGTGGAACATAAGATGGGTAGTTCGGAAATCGACGGGATCCAGCTGAAGCTATAAGAGAAGCCGACCTAACGATTAGGCAAATCTGCATCTCGCCCTCCCCAATCCTGAAACAGCACCCCCGGGAGGGCTGGGACCTCACCTCTGCCGCCACGTTGCCCAGCGTGTCCAACCCCAGTTGCCGTAGCGACACGAAGTGACAGTGGGCACACAGGAGGAGGAATCTCAGACAAGTGCGATTAGCTGCCAGAAGTCTGACGTTGGCCTCCTCGAAGGACAGGTTGCGTAGGATGACTGCGATCTGGAGAACCCTCTGGCCCTCGACGTCGTTGATGCCGACATCCCGCGGTGGGTGGAACAGGGCATCCCACGCCCCTTCGTTTCCTGTACCATCTTCGGGTCAAGAGAAAGGAGGGTGTGTGACTGCAGATCACCCGGTGAAGCCGGCGTCGGAATACAAGCGGCTTTAGAGTCATACCTTGCGATTTGGTGCTCCTGTCAGAAATGAGGTCCCGAACTTCAGCATCATCAACGATGTCCTTCCAAAACTACAGTAAGAATTCAGTTACCGAGTCAATCAGGAAGCAACTCGGATCACATCCCACGTCAGCTTTTGCTGTACGGATTAACGTTATTAACATATCATTCCGTCGTGCCGAGCTCGCTTCACTCATGCCAGCTTGAAATGTCATTCGTCAAATCACAACAGTCTAAAAAAACCATCGATAATAATGGGTGCATTCATCCAAAAAGTAAACACCGGAAAGTACATTGAGGTTCACATTCTCCATGTGACTAGTGATGAAATATCACAAGGTTACAAATATGAAGGGAAAGCTTCAAAGGCAACAGAAAATGAATGTGGGAGGCGATACACAAGCACAATCTCAATCAGCATAGCCATAAGCAAAGCATACACTACATCCATGGGCCTGATATGAGACACGTCTTCATGCTATACATCTAGACGGCTCACCTTCACAAAGTCTCGGGATGTCTTCTCCTTCCAATCCATCCCAAATACAACTGAAAAACTTCCTAAGGCTGCAAGGGTAGACAGATGCAGATTGAACACAAATATGGTCGTTTTAGGGACAGGGAGTCAGAGGTCAGTAGATCTGATCATCTTTGCCAGCGGAAACACTAATCAAATTTCACTAAGAAATAAAATGACAAACGACTTACACCCCAGCACTGGGCTAATACTGACAGGCACCAGACAATGGAACACAGATATCTACAAACACTGTGTGGTTTGGCGCCGGGAGAAGCAACCAATTTGTAAATGTCACGGCGGGAAAAATGAGACTCGGATCGTCGGTGGGCGGTAGGACGGCCCGACGTACTGTCATCGAAGACGCCGGCGTGAGCCAGCAGCAGCGTGATGAGTTTGGGGTCCTTCTCCAGCTGCATGACGTGCTTGCTTTCGTTGGACAAAAGAGTGCAAACGTTGATAGCGAAGTCGACCTCGTTGGGGAGGCCGGAGAGGAGAGAGAGCACCAACTTGTTGTAATCAGACGGCGGCATGAACTCCATAGACAAGCCGTAACTTTGACGAAGGTAATCTGCGGACCGAAACCAAGCCGGCTGAAGTTAAATACTGGGTTAAGCAGAGGGCAAACACTCTAATAAAAGTAAGCAGCTAGAGGAATATGCTCCACATTCACGCAACAACACGGCAGTGGGGGATTCAAGGTTACAGACATTGCTGTGCTTGGCAGCAGCCCAGGGCCCCAACAGAAGCAGCCTGGGGAAGGGAGCATGTTACCTGATACAATGTGCTGCTGGTAGTTGTAGGAGCAGGAAAAGGCCCCCACTGGAAGAGACGGCTTGGGGTTGCCAGGTTGTGCCTCCTCCTCATCCTCCCCGAAGTGATGGACCTTCTCATACTTCTCCAAATAGCTACGGAGAGAGAACCATTCGAGCTGCTCTAAAAACATACCAAAGAAACTCAATTCTTATCTAACAGATACAGACACAAAAACGTCTAACCAATATTACACTTATCACAGCTTAGATAAAATACAATTTGGTCTATGCATTTTAATTGTTGCCCAGTCCAATCCTCTATGTAGCAGAATCCTTCAGTAATCTTATAAAATTACCGGAGACTGTGTATTAGTTAATGTACTGCCCGTTTAGTAACTGTCTCCTACAACTATGCATTAATCTATAATTAGCTTGATAAGTAAATGACAAGTGTGACCATACAATCAGGCTTGCCTGTCAGATAGCTCTACTGCCATTAACACATCAATAAACAAGATGAGTGGAGCTTGTGACCTTGTTCCTTAACCTGAACCGTTTTATTAAATAGCCAGCTGTGCAAATAAGCAACATCAAAACCACAGAATAGCCCAACTTAAGCTAGCAAGCTATATGCCTCAGTTAGGATTCATAGTCTCTGTTTATAAAGTTGCAATGGGAGACTGTCAACATGGCAGTGATGCATTTAAAATGCATTAAAGGCCACTCAAACCTGCACACATCCAGGGCTAGAAAAAGAGAGTCTTTACTGAGCTTGTAAAGAAGGTAGGCGCAAGACAGCAGAAGGTTTTTAATCCTGACATCTCCCCTCTAGGGGCGCACCAAGGTAAAGATCACAAATTCTGTCATGTACAAGTTCAGCTCACCAACAGCTCCATAAACTAATCAAAACTCAGCAATGCAATGATAAAAGTATACAATAGCATCTGTAAGGAAATTTCAAATGTCATACTTCTGAGAGATACGTTGCAAAAAACAGTTACATTACATTCGAGATCTATGTTGAGTGAAACCTTTCAGTGGGATCTCCAAGGAAACAGACTTCCACATGAAGCAGCATTTCCTTGCTAATTCTGCTAAATTCAGCAAATAATCCACGGAGGTCCTGTGAAACTAGACAAACACACAACCACAGAATTTATAAAATCCATATTCCCTTAACAGCCTGCTACTAGAATATACAAAAGGAACAGAAGCTGGCCAAGTGTAGAGGGAGTGATGTATTAAATGACCAGCAATAGAAACTATGGCAAGACTTCAGCACAGTGCTGAGAGCTGTAATTATGGGGGAGAAGCTATCACTGATATTCTTATTTAACAGTGTATACGGTGCTTTGCCATTAAGGCAAATAAAGTTTTATCAACATCACAAGCACTCTGCGTGCAGTTCACTCTCAGGTCAGTGGAGGACAATCAAAGCTCCCTCAATGTGCACAAAGCAGGCTTGGAACGCAGCCTAAAAGTGAAGAGGCAGGTTTGGCTGCATCAGCCACAAACCGGCCCCTTTCTGAAAAGCACCCGGGCTTCGTGTTCACTATATTCACTTCCATCGTGACCTTTCCACCTCCAAAAGGACCTGCTTGCTAGGCAGAACGACACGATTCTTCAGAAGGACTTACTAGATACTACTTGCAACAAATATTAAGAAGCTCAAAACCAATGTAGGATGCCAGTCTTTCAACAGAACTGAGTCAGCTGGTTATCTGCACTGACTGTTTTACTACAGACATCACCACCCAGTCTGCTGTTCAGTAACCCACGTGGTTGTGTAAGGAGGAGGAGTAGCAAAAAGGATGCAGCTGATCAAAACATTACACTGAATGTTTTACACAGACCGTGCTTCCTAACACCACATACAATGGATAAACTGAAAAGATTAAGGTTTCCACAGTTCAATTCTCATGAAGACCGGAGCTCAAATTCCATGATTAGTTCTCCAAATTGCAGTTGCAAAGGCAAGACTAAGAGAAGTTAACTGAAGTAAACCCGGCATTTTCCCAGCAAAGGTGTCTTCCTTCGGGCCCCGTGACCGTGATTCTGCTAGAAACGGAAAGAGCTTTTCCCTGCTCTTTGAGCGAAATGATTTTCCAGGACATTTCCAAGAGTCTTTGAAAACGTTTTTAGACTTCATATTAGGGCAAACGTTAAGAAATCATGCCGAATGTCTTTCCTGACAGTTTAACAGCACATCTACAAACCAGGGACACGCTGAATGTAAACCTTCTGAGAGGCTTGAGATCGAGAGGAAAAAAAAATAAAATAAAAAAATGAAGAGTAAGACAGACATGTGATGCAGGTGGACAGCATATCTCTAAAAATAAATTAGATTCAACTATGCTACAGTATTGCCAAATCTTGCATGTGTTTCACAAAGACAGCTGTAAATTTAGAATGAATGTTGCATGGGCAAATGTGTTAGCAGTAACTGTTAAAACCTTAACTCTTATATAAATCTAGATGAATACTGGGAAAACTTCACATTGGTACAAAATAAATTCGGAAGGAATGAATTATATTCTGTATTTAAGCCAATTTGTCTATTTTATTTTCCATTACTTGAATCAGTTCATAATAGGATTAGCAACATTTACTATAACACAGCTTGATAGTTTCAATAGATCATGAACTTCCAAACAGAATACCACAAGCTAAAATCTTATGCTGATACATTCACATTGAGTCAAGAAACTGAATAAAACACACAATTCTCAATTTTATAATCTCTCCAACTCCTCCAATTAAGGCCCGTTTTAAAGATATATGCAACATACTGAGTTAGCAAAAACTACAACTAAAGGAAAAAATAGCTGTTTGCAGCAAGTTTGGAAAACATTGAAGGTTTCAGAAACACCTTCTAGCAGAAGTTAAAGGAGAGTTTCCCAGAAAATGCTACCACACCAAGCTCAGAGCTAGCAAGTGCAAATGAGCAGCATATCCAACTAACAAATTTCCATAATACAGTACATATGAAACATATCACAATATAGAACACAATACACAACTCACCATATGGTATAACTCCTAAACTCCCTCCAGACATAAATTAAACATCCAAGACTACAAACATCTGTGGTATCAAAGCACTGATCCACACTCCTTAAAAGCAGGTTTCATTGTAATGGACCACTGAGAGCCAGGCTGATAGACACTCTCCCAAACCCGATGAGCGTTTCAGGCGAATCACACCCCAAACACTGCATGTACTGCTTATGGCTTTTCATTGAATCTCAAAACATACTCAGAGTGTGGGGCTTACTGGCTCCTCCATGCATTTTCCCTCCAAAACTGAGCATAGCATCCCGACACTCGTTTCAATCCAAACGTGCAACGAGAGATGAGGGCAGTTCAAAGTGCACGACGGGGCCGCGATGGAGACCCATCCCCCGCAAACACTGCCATCACATAATTCCTTACTATTTAAAGTACAAGAAAAGTAGCAGATCAAATAGGCGATCCCAAGTAAGTGAGCACTTAGCTGAAACTTCCACCACTCATCGCTGGATCAGAGAAGGCTAGAGTAACACGTGTTCTCTCAAGCAAAATGGGTATAACACACTGGGGTTACCCATAATTCTCAGGCCACATGCATGTAGCAGTGCCCACAGAAGGGGAGTCCAGCATGGACAAGTTATTTCCTCCCAGACATTTTTCGGAACTGATAAGGGAACCTTAATTTATAGGTTTTCCAAGCTGTGAGAAAAGCCTAAGAGTATAACACAAGCTTCTCTTTCTTCAATTTCAGCTCCGTCCCACAACAGATTCCGCAACAGCATCTCCAAAAAAGCAAGCAAGCCCAACAAAAGTCAAAGTGGATACCCAATGCTAACGTATATCGTAATTCCCGAATCATTAAACAACGTTCACGGAGAGAAAAATAACACCAGTAAAATACTCTGCGGACACCGATTACGTCACCCACCATCGGCCTGATGGCACTTGGAAAAAATAAGTTCCACGGAGCACAGGAAAACACCGGCATGTCTAAATGAATGAGTGACCAATCAATTTGGCATAACATAAATAGTACACATCTCTCAGTATTAAAGAGCAAGATTTCATAAGCAGGCATAAGGTGAGCATGGCTAATCAACCAAAGACAGGAAAAAAAACATGACTGTAATACAGCAAAGCAAAACTATATTAAAAACCTTACCTACACATCCATAGCAATATGACTAATATAGCACACTACAGATAAGATATCTCCTGGGGAAAGGAAAAAAAAAACTGAAAAGAGGTGAAGTAGTTATAGCTCAGAGGCAAGTGTCATTGTTTGCGGCAAGATGCACGTGTGCAGAACCAATCAGAGGGACTGAGGTCTCAAGGCAAAGCAAAGAGCAGAAACACACAGCTGCACCAACTGGATACCTTTGCACATGTCTCACTGTAACTGAATTACATTCTCTGAATCATTTTCTGTTTTACTTCAGTGGATGTTAGTGTTTTAAATTTACAGCTATTAGAGAACTTTCTTGGAGTACTGAAAAGTAAGCGTTAAAGTACAGTAACATCGTCCTTCTCCATTTACATGATGAAATTGTTGATTTGGCATGCACCAGTGCAAGGATTAACAGCATGGTTTTCAAATCAAACAGACGAAAAAGCATTAAATTAGTGCCCAACCAATGCATGCACATTCAGCCATATTATAAGTTTAATAACAGAATGGCACAAAATTGCACATATCTTACATTCTCCAGCTGAGCTGAGAATTAACTGACAAAATTAATTATAAAGTTTTGCTGCAAAGCCTTCCCAAAAATCTACATAATCATACACCTAAGTTCTTCACACTAGATTAAACGACCATCAAGTATGTACAACCCTGAGAGGCTTGTAGGACAAAAAGGAGCTCTTTGCTGAAGAAAGCAGTACTTTCAAGTAAGACTGCAGTCCTGCTTGAATACTAAATACAATTTTAGACGTACCCATAACATGCAGCAGCAAAATCCTAATATCTAGGATGGGGGCATGTTCAGTGGTGACAGAGCAGTGAAAGGAAGCTCACCCCGTGCCCCTTAATACCCGCGCCGAGTACAGAGAGGCACATTGTGGCGAGAGACACAGGTACTGCAGCTTGATCTGCAAAAGCAGATGTGTGCACGTTTGTGGCTAAAAATCTGAAAAAAATGCAAAAAGGGGAGAAGGGGTCTGTTCACCCAATAATTCTAATGCCCAAGTAATGCCCCCCACCCTCGTACTGTCAAACATGCCACACTTCTCAACAAACAGCTTCACGCCGAAGGAAACCGGGATAACCTTCAGCGATCCAAGCTTGATCACAGGCCACAAATAATATTCCCCAATACAGACACACAGCAAACTTACACACCAGTATATAATACACATTCAAAACAGCCTCCTTAATCCCCTTCTGAAATGACTGAAACACCCAAAGGTATTAGTAATGTGTCAGCAGACAAGGCCTTGCCATGTGTGGCAAAAAATCTCACTTCCCTCTAACTGGTGCCCCTGCAATTCTGAACCGCAGGAAGGCAGGATCTCCAGATCTTCCCCTAATACTCCAGACGGAAATACTAAGCATGCAGCAGTTTCAAAGTTAGCATCAAAGCTTTAAAGGTCTTTTAGGCAAATCACTACAGAAATACTCTGATAAACATTAAATTTTTCTGCACTTCTCAGTTATAACAATTCAGTGTGGTCATTATTAACACCTCACCCCAAGTACTACCTTCCCTGTAACATGATCACTGGTGGATCTGACTTGTCTAGACGGGTCAAAAAAAAGTCATTCGTTACATGACCATTACTATCAAGTTGAAGAAACGACAAGCGGCAGATTCACAATCTTCAGGTACCTCTGATAACACCGAATTGGCCATGGATTCAGGTGATCCTCACTGGGCTCATGGAAATCAGTCCCAAGTACTAATTTTAAAGCTAATTATTACTTCAAACTGAAAGGGGATGCAAAACGTGGACCTGTGGCGGCTGCAGTGGAGGAGCTAAGCAAAAACATATGGCCGTTCTGCATGACAACACAGCAATCCCCCCCCCAGTTTAACGCAGCAGGTTGAAGAGCTGGAGAAACTTTTTTTGGAGGGAAAAATGCAATCAGCCGAGATGGGAAAGCAAAAATCGATAAACGTGCAGTTCCTGCGTTTAAGCCATAGAGACCTTCGCTTTTTTGTTTGTTTTTCTTCTGCACAATGAGCCCGGCGTGTTCAACTGGGAACGATAAGGGCGAGCGCTGGGTGCCATAACCTAAGAAGTAAATCATTTTTATACGTCTCGCCTCTTAATGCAAAGGTTTCACTTCATTTTATCAAAAGCCCTTCTTTGGGGAAATAGGGCCACGCCGTCTGCTCGTATCCCACATGCGACCTCCGGCCGAGTAACTCACCAGCGGGACTCGTTAACGAAGCAAAAACTTCAAGTTACCGGCGATGTCAAGCACGTACGAATTAAAAGCGCTTAAAACACCCCCGTCCCGAAAGCTGCCCTGCGCCCCGACACCAAAATCCCCAGCTTCCGCCCTAATCCAGCCAGACGTAAAAAATGCATTTTCCAAATGTACGCAAACTTCGCTTCAAGAGGACTTAGGCGCTGGTTTAGCGTTATAAGCAGAGATGTAAACAGTGGCCACATGCTCCCAGCTCGCCGGGACGCCGCCTGCCCGCCCGCCTGCCAGCCCGGCCCAGACACTCACCGCAGGTAATACTGCTTCAGGACGAAAGCGGCGTTGGAGCAGCTCCTGGGGAAATTAAAATCTTCGCCGAGCTCGGACCACAGGTTCTTGTCCGAAACCTAGAAAGAGTTTGGAGGGGAAAGGGAAGAAAACGTGTAAAATACCAATACTAGTGAGCAATAAAGCGGCGTAATGCTACGGCAGCCAGCTTAACTTCCGATTAATCCAAAACAATATTTTTTACAAATGTTCCCTTCTCAACCATCAAGCTTGACTGCAATCTTAATTTTATCATACATACCCCCTTTTAATATGATATAAACAGTGGGCAGATATGTATGCATGTATGTGTTTTTTTTTTTTTTGTAAACTAACACTTGATGAGCTAAAATAAGTTTCTTCGGCTAAGCCAGCATACAAAGTCTTATGAAAGGGGGAGCAGACGTCGGCTAAAATAAACACCGACAGTCCCCGCGATCAATATCGCCGGTGACAACCTGTCAGAAATGTCGGCTCCTTTCATATTTAACCGTGTTTTAAACACAGGCCTGTGCGAGGCCTACAGTCTGTCGTCAGCCGAGGAGCCCGGCACGGCGCCCCTCAACCGCCTCGCCGTGTCTTTTCTTACGACTAATATTTACGAAAAAGGGAGCCCCCGCAAAGGGGAGCTTCCCCCCCCCCTCACGGCCGCTCCGTGTCGATTATCGGCGTTAATGTCGGAGTCTCCCGGGGCTGCGAGCGGAGCCGCTTCGGGGAGGCGCGGAGCGGCGGCGCGGAGGAGAGCGCACACACTCCACACGCCGGCCAGCCTCCATAACGCCGTTAGCCGGCGAGCTAAACCACGTAAGGCCAGCCTCGAAGCAGTCTTTTTTTTCCGACCCCCTAACGCAGCCCTGGGCTCCAGGAAAGCGCGGCGGTGGTGCTCGTTGGAGGGGGGGGCGGCCCGTGGGGGTTGTAGGGAAAAGCCAAGGCTGCCTCTTTGTTGGGTGCCCCGGGGAATCCGACGCAGGGAAGCATGTTGTGAGTCGAGAGGTGGGAGATCCACATGCGAGGCTCCGCACTCACCTTCGCAAATCCGCCTAAAGAAACGACTCGGGTGTAGAGAGCATTGAGATCCAGCTCTCTCCCACCCACGACCGGGATCTTCTTGATCGGCGAGCTGAGGCAGAAAAAAAAACCGCAATATTAAAAAAAAAAAATAAACACAAGAAGCCGTACCCGAGGCCCCGATACCGCTCCCATTTGAAGTTAAACGCGGTTTTAAAGTTATATTTCTGCGAGATAAAAAGCCACCCTTTCTCACCCTCTGCTTTGGTGAAACTGCCGCAGTTCGTCCAGGAAAGCTAGTCCTTTCCTTCGCTGATCTGGCTGATTTTTCCCCGTCGAGTTTGCCATTTTTTCAATGTATGAAAAGCTGTTAAAACCCCGCTCCTTCGCTTCCTAAGACGCCCAGGATCCCATACTCCACCGGCGCTCAGTCATTCGCGAAGCCGAGTGTTTAAAAAGTTAAAGAAATAAGGCGAAGGGAGCGACAGCCCGCTAATGACTGGTACAGACTACAACACAGAAAACACAAGCCGATTTAGCCCTCTATAAGTTCTAAACCGACCGTCCGAATTACGATCCGTTTCGACGGCGAAACGACATCGCCATTGCACTAAACGGTAATTGAATTGTTTTGGCCGAAGTTCGTTTTGGAGTGGTTTCACAGTGTGCAACGGAGGCGGCTCAAAAGCAAATCGCGCACACTGTGAAGCGGCAGCGGGATCCAGTTTTCAGACAAAGATCCAAAGGCCGGGAGGCTCGCACTGCCGAGCGGCGCCCTCTATTAGAAACAACGGTACTACACTATCCAAAGCCGTTTATTAGAACAATAGACAGTGTTTTCTTTTAGGGCTCATCTCAAACTTCCTAAATACGTTAAAAGAAGAACACGGCAATACACCTAGCAGGGGGGGATAGAGAAAATTTCTGACTACTTTCAATAGAGACGCGACTTGAAAGTAAAATTAATTTGTTTTTATTCCTGGCACGTGTATTGTATATTCATATTTAACTAAGATTAAGTGAACTGTAGTTACTGTGGTCGATGTGCTTTTTATGAAATGTTAACGAAATATCAAAAATTATGTGGGGGGAAAAAGAATACACTGCTTTAATGGCCCGTGTCGTATGGCTAAAATGTCCAGCACACCACAGTTTATTTTTTCTTCCATCAAAATTACATTGCAGTTACACTGAAATAAGTATGAAGCCACAAGTCTCACAAACTACCTCAGCTTGTACTTATTTTGACTGTGTGCACCTGTGAACGTCGTATTTTGGCTATAACCTCTACTACATAGTATTATGTATAGAGATAAAATGTTTCTTATTCATACGGCTATATTCAACATGGCAAGTTAATACGATCACTTATACACTGTAACTACTATTATGTGTATATACTGCTGAAATATACCACGTCAGTTTCATCGTGTATTTTTAACTTTCAGTGTTTCACTGCTGTCTTTAAACTCCAGTATAATACGCGCGCCTTCGGACCAAATCTAGGAGCGCATAAGCGGCATGGTTTCTAAAGCGAGGCTTCTAATATGCAGAGTAAAAATGTTTCATTTTAACTTCTTCCTATACTAACTAAATTGTAAGTTTGACACACTCGTGCCTGGTTCAGATGGTTGACGCACAATGTAAAATACCAGACATGTACTTAAATGCATCATTTTATTTTATTCATGTTGAATTTTAACCCGACCGTAGATAGTGAGTAAGGTTAACAGGCATATGGATATTTTAAGAATGGAAATGCGCCTTTTTACACCATAAACTTCTGCCTATGCTTTGAGTGAGGTATACAGTGTCATTAAACCGTGCATTTACAGCCGCATGCCTGTCTAGCTGCCAGCAGCCACCGCAAATAGCCGAGCACTTCTGCGCCACCGGCTTGCATTTTGCAGCGGCGGGGGACACGCAAGCGTGCAGTATGCGCCGTAGTAAATAGGAGTTGTTAATGATCCCTGTCCATAGCTACCGGCCGGTTACGTACTAGAAGGGGTTTACACCACATTCAACCATTACACGTGCCCCGCCATTGATGTGCTGCACCGACACAAAATGGCGGAACACGAAAGCCAAATATACTAGACCCCATTTTGTAGAAGTTACAAATGCTGAAATTAGCCGTGTAACAAGTGAGCCACACGGCGACGGTCCGCTCCGCACGGCGTCCAGGAAAGAGCAAATATCGTGCAATGGGGCGCCCCTGTCACTGAATTAGGCGCGCTGCGGCATTAGGCGTTAGTAGGCGGATTCACTTCTGCCGAGATGAACGTTAATATTCACCCCCCGATCGAATGGTTTGCGATGAGACGCTGGGCTAGCCTGTCACTTGATATTTATCAGTTTATCAAGTTGTTTACAGACATTTAAGATTTTAAAACGGAGTTCAATTTTCTCGAATTGTAGCTGGGAGGTAGCACACGGAGCGGACAGATTAGCATGCCGGAGCATATCGCCAGGATAGCTTTAGTTCACCTGAAATGTTAAATTCGTTCCAAAACATAATTTCTTAAATGTAAAACATTTAGATAAATAATCCCATTTTACTTCCGGAAATCGCACACATGCTACTGAGCAGCTAGCGAATTGGTCCATACGGGTACTAAAGCCGGGGTTCGCTGAGCATTGATGATTGGAGCATAATGAAGGTGGTTCTTGTGAAATAGGACATTCATTTGTATGATCAAGTGCAATGTGTACAGTGTATTATCAATGTTCCAATTAGCCGTTAAAATTTCCTCCACTTTTTCTTCTGACTAATCGAACCTTTTATTATTTATTATTATTTAAATGGAGATAGTGAACTCCAGTAAGCCCGACCTAGTTTTTTTTCGTTCTTTCCTTTTCTTTCTCTCTCTCTCTCGCTCTTTCTTTTTTTCCTTGATTAATGTTTTTGAACTGCACATACAACACAGTAGCTCCGTTTTCATCTAATTGTATGCTGGATTCAAAGAAGGTCCTTGACCGAAATATTGCAGTGCGAGAGTAATGGACTGTTGATGCATTGGGGGGGGGAAGCTGAAGAGGAATACTGACGACGCAATAACAGAAATATCTCTTTCTGAAGATAAAATTTTGATTTTTGAACCTATTTTGAATTGATCGCTCCGTTCACCGTATACCACGTGTAACACCATCGTTGTCGTTTTTGTAACATTATCAAGAAGTCCAATTCATGTACTGCAAAGTGCAGCAGAGAGGTTTTCATGAACAGTGAAACGTCCCTGAATTAAGTGTTGGATGAGAAATGCAGAAAAAAATGCAGTGAAACCATTTTCCACCCACCCATCCATCCATCCATCCATCCATCCATCCAGCTTCCAATCATGCATCCTGGAGTGCAGAAGGCAGGCAAACACCCTGAACAGGATGCCAGTCCATCATAGTTAACATACACGCATGCTCAAACATTATGGCAAATTACCAGATGCCAGTTAGCCTAAATCCATGTGTTGTAGAAAGAAACCAGAGGAAAAGCAGGCTAAACCCAGGAGGTGTGAGGCATCAGCGCTATCCACTGAGCCACCATGCTGTCCTGAAATCAATTTAAAGGTAAGAAATAGAACATAAAACTGATTTTTCAAATGGGATGGTATATTGTTTAATGAGCCATGAAATGACAGGCTATGAAGCAATGGGTTACAGCGCAGTTAGGTTTGGCTTCTTTCATTCCATTTCCAAAGCAATGTTTTTGTTACACGATGCTTGTGTTCGGTTTTATGATCAGTACAAAAACACTCTATACAAGCCTGGTTTAATTCTTCACTTAATTTTTCTCCATGTCTTTCATTAGGTATATGTGTAGTTTGTTAGGTATACCTGCTTGTTAATGTAAACAGCTGAATGCATACAGCACACAGGCTAGGGCAAGAGGTTCTGCTGCTGTTTAACTAAGCAGAAGAACGACTGAGAAGTCTGTTCTAAGTAATTTTGAATGTGTTGTGATTGTTGGTGCCATATGCGTTGGATTCAGCATCTCAGAAACAGTCTCCCTCCCGGGATTTTCACACACCGCAGTGTCTAGGATTTACAGAGAATGGTGTGATGAACAAAAACACCCAGTCAATGGAAGTTCTGTGGCCAAAAACACCTTGTTAATGAGACCGGACAGGGGAGACTGGCCAGACTTTTAAAAGCTAACAGGAATGCCGCAATTTGACAAGTAATAGCTCAGTACACCACTGGTGTGCAGAACGGCTTCTGTGACTGCACGACTCGCCTATTCTGGAGGCAGTTCTCTGAGTGGTTTCTACCTGGTACTAGCTAGACGTGTAATAAAGTGGCTGCTGAATGTATGTATGTGTGAACAAAATGCTTCTTCATCATTTTTATGAATTATAAATGACAAACTGAAACACTGTTCACTAACCTTTCACCATTATTATAACTGATTTAATATCCCTCTTTCTTCCGCTGCCTCTGCAATTGCAAAAATGCTAATAGTTATGGGATAGTTCAATGAATTATGAGTATGGTGCCATTCAGTGGTAGTGTTAAGGGTGGGCTAAAACTAGTCCTTCTAGTTAAGGTTGCCCCTAAAAATATTATTCTCAAAATTAAGGATCTGCTTAAGTAATTCAGTTAAGCATTTCTCTCAAGGGCTTCCTTCTAAGGTTTGTAGCAAATCTTTTATTACTGTCTGGTAACCTAATGAAACAACTTTCAAGAAATAAAATTATTTGTGGAGAATACACAGCTGGCATATGGTCTAAGCTTCCCCGGATTAGCTCCTGGTTCTCCATGGGCCTTGGATAAGTGGGAAATGGATTTGGATAGAGGTGTCACACGGATGCGGCTTATGGGGCTGAAGCTCCAAATGAATCCAAATGAGCCCCAAATGATTTGTATGTTTCAGTCATACTCGGTTAGAGAACCTTTGGACAGGTTAGGTGTCCGAAGGTCTGGATGTCTTAAGATCTTAGCAACGGTCCATTCTGGATAGATAGATGGATGCAAGTAGAATCTATGTATGATTTGAAACCATCAGACCTGGACAGGCCTTCTGGTATACCCAGCCTGTTTGTCTAGCCTTGGTTATCATATATATATAGAATTTAATCTCAACCATGAAATTCAGATTAATGATGCACTTCCCCTTTTGACTTTTGCCACGGATCAACTACAATGTCTGGTTAATAATTACTTCTATAGTCAAATCAGTCGCTCATGCACAATAGATAGATAGATGGATAGATAGATATCTTTATTGCCATTTGCACAGGTACAGGTCAGTTCAAGTACATTGGAATTCTTGTAATTTGTTATTGTTATTAAAATTCTTGCTAATTTTTCTTTCATTAAGGACGCCAGATTTTCTGGGCATTTCTGTCGTATTTTATACTTGGAGAATCATCTGTATAAGTTGACTTCATTGGTGGGGAATACTTTTTGTGTCATGGTAGTCTGAAACACTGACACTAAACCCGCAACACTAGCAAAACAATCGTAGATTTTTCAGTGTAGTATATTATGAGATAAATGCTATGTAAAGCTGTTGTCAGCGGTGCAAACGACGGTTCGTGGGAGCCAAACGCCAGCGTTCACGCGCCGCCAGTTCAGCTGCTGGACAGCGCCTGCTCGGCACGCGCCAGCGTCAGTTAGGGCTCGCGACGGCCCTGAAGGACTGGGAAAACGCTGGGGCAGTGAAGGTTAAGTCTGCTAAACAAGGTTAGGGCAAAAGAAATGCAATATTGGTTAGAGGCATGATAATGTCACCTATGGTTTTACCATTAGAATATTTCAGAGTGAATCCTGCATGTTCCGCTAGCTTCGTGTTTATGTCCAAAACAATGTGATTGTATCTCCTTA